CTTGGCGCGTCCCTTGGGACATTCCGCGGCGCGTCCTCCTGGCATGTCCCCCTGTCAATGAGCTCTGGGGCAGCTACTATGTGCTAGAGCAGCTCGAGCTTAAGATCCAGATCAGTTCGGTCAGGACTCGGATGCAAAGGAGGACTTGATCCACAACGCTATAGAGCACAATCGTGGCATGGCACATCGCAGTTCAGCACAGCGCAGCACAGCACAGCCCTCGGCACGGTACATCAAGATCGATACACTAAGCATTGCACTTGCCCGTCGCCCAATCAGGTGTCTTTGAAACGTTGCCATGTCTTACATTTCTATATTCCTTTCCAGGTTCAAGGGTCGATCATGTTTGCGGAGGTTCCTCCGTGGAGAGCCTCTAGGGGCCTCACAAAAGTTGTTTCAAGCTTTCTTAAGACCTTCTGGAGGCCTCCTGGGCGTATTCTGGGGGCCTCCGGGGGCTTCCTCGGGCCACCCTGCCTCCAACCGCGGTCTCCCTGAACGACCGAATCACGATTTGGAATTCTTCGGAGGGTGTCTTTGGGCAATCGTGGGCCGCCATGGGGCTCTCTGAGGGCCATCTTGGACCCGTGTTGTGCCGTTTGGGGGCTCTCTTGGACTGCCTGGAAGCCCTTTCGGATGGTTGTGGGGCGATTTGGGAGCCTCCCAGGCGGCTTCGGACGCCCAGAAGACCGCCGTCTTGGAGCGTCGGGAAGCCGAAAAGAGGAGAACCCCACAATTCACCAAAAACCCACTGAAAACCAATGATTTGTGCCTCGGGGGGCCTTCTTGGGAGTGCTTTTGGAGGCCTCTTTGGGGCCGTCCTGGAGGCCTCTTGGGCCATCTTGAGGTCACGTCGGTCACTCTTGGAGCGCTCTTGTGCTGTCTTGGGGGTCTCTGGGACGTCTCCGATGACCCCCCTGATCGCCCTAGGTGTGCTGGGAAGGCTTGGCAAAACGCCCTGCGAGGCCCGGTGGCCGCTTCGAGGCCCGTCTGGAGGGTCCCAAAGCCCCAGATCCCAGGAGTCCAGTTTTTTGGGGGGGGGCGGGTTTTCCCCCCGCCCGGGCTTATAAGAATATAGGAATTGGAATATACACATAGATAAGGCCCGCGCCTTCTGAGAAGCAGGGGTGCTTCTAAGAAGAAGCCCTCCACGATCCCCCTATCCCCCCACTGCGCGTGGCTGAGGACGACCGCCGGCGGCAGCAGACGTGGGGCTCTCCTGCGATGGCGCGCGGGCCCAGCTGGTCAGCAGGCGCGCGATGGAGCGCTCGGCCCGCTCCGCGGCGGCCGCGAGGCGGAGGCCGCTGCGCACCCGCCGCGCCTGCGGAGGAGGCGGCGCTTGCCGTTGTCGGCGCCGCCGTCGCAGCTGTCGCGGCACCCCCCGTCGCCGTCACCGTCGCTGTCGAGTCGTCGTCGCCGAGTCGCCGTCGCTGTCGCGGCGCTCGCCGTCGTCGCCGCCGCCGCCGTCGCCGTCGGCGTCGGCGAGGGGGGGTGCTCCGCACGCGATTATGGTTAGAGCCCAGTCTCGTCGGGAGAGCCTTCAAGCCGCTCTTGGGACCCAGCTTCTGGAGGGCTCTTGTTTCCCAAAACAGTGCTTGCGCCAAGTGGTTCTTATCTTCTGTTCCCCAAAGCATTGAACGAGTCGGCCGAGGATTGGACACGCTGCCGTCCCGTGCCACCTCGTGGGCCCTCGTGGGAGCCCCGTGCGCCGGGTGGGTCGGCCGAGGTTGCCCCGCGCTGCAGATCTGCCTCCATGTTTCCTCCTCTGCCGGCTCCTTTTCCCACCTTTTGCTGCATCATATCCTTTGCCCTTTGGTTTGTTCAAAGGCTTCCAGATTTGTTTGGATGTCGAAGTCCACCATGTCTGTCCCGTCTTCGACGGCTGGGTCTTGTATTGTTGGTTGCCTTTTCCTCTGCCCTTTGCCCTTGCCTTTGCCTTTCGTGCCGCCTCGCGGGCGCTCGTGGGCTCTCCGCTTGCTGGGTGGGTCGGCCGAGTTTGCACAACGTTGCCGCCCGTGCCGCCTCGTGGGTGCTCGCCGTCCGTGCCGCCTCGTGGGCCCTCGTGGGCGCCCCGTGCGCGCCCTCCTGAACCCTCCTACCAAAAAAAAACGTCCTCACCTCTCACCGGCGTTCCTAAAAAACTCCCACGTCCCTAAAAGCCGTCCTAAACCCTCCTAAGCCTTTTTTTAATAGAATAAAAACTTCTAAGCTCCCTTCTACTCAGATCCTTTTTTCCAGGCGACGCGATGCAACTCAGTATTGTTAGCAGATTGTGCGGCGAAAGTTGCCGTGCAGAACTACTGCACGGATCCTCCGAAACTCTTGAGATCAAGTTTGAAACCTAAAAACCATCCTAAACCCTCCTAGACCTTTTTAAACAACCTCCTAAGCCCCCCCCCCCACCCCCACCCCCCCGCGGCCTGGCGGCGCTCGAGCGCCCATCGCTCTCGGAGGCCCCGGGCCTCCGCGCGCTGCCGGCGCTCCTCGCGCAGCATGCGGGCCTCTCGGGCGTCGCGCGGTCGTCGCGCGTCGCATCGCCGTCGGCGTCATGGTCGCGAACTTCGTCGTCTTTGTCGTGGTCCTCATCGCCGTCGTCATCGTCCCCATGGTCCTCGTTGCCATCGTCGCGATCGGTATCATTGTCCTCAGCATCAGTTCCTCGTCGTCGCTGTCGTGATCGTTGTCGTCACCTTCGCCTTCATCGTCGTCATCGCCGTCATCCTCAATGTCGCCGTCGTCGTCATAGCAGACAGTATCGTCGTCATCACCGACATCGTCGTCATCGTCGTCGTCGGCATCGTCGGCATCGTCGTCATCAAAATTGTCGGCGTCCTTTGTCATCTTCGCCATTTCTGTCATCCGTCATCCTCGTTTTCCTCGTCGGCGCCGACGGCTTATGTGTCAAAAGTGTCTGGAATATCTAAATCAATATTGAGAACCTGCCTTTGAAAATCGTGGCACCTCTTCGCAAATCTTAGCAAATCTTGGAAAGTTTCAAGATGTACCAAAAATTTACCCAGATTTCCGAAGGCAGAGTTCTAAAATTTCTCGAAAGTAATAACTTATCTGTAAGCCATCTCTCCATTGCTGGCGGGTTGGCGATACCAGATGGCGATGCGAATGTCATCATTAAACCTCCTTGTCACTTAGTGCCGCTGAGATAACGCCGTCAGCGCCGACGACGACGACGACGATGATTGACGACGACGACGATGATGATAACGACAGTAATGACGAAGATGACCACGACGATGCCGAGGACATGGACAACGACGATGACGACGATGACGACGATGCCGACGATGGCGATGACGACGATGTCGGCGATGCCGACGAAGATGACTGCTACGACGAAACCGATGCAGATGTTGATGATGACGACGACGAATGCGAAGATGACGACAGCGACGATGATGATAACGACGACGACGACGAATAGACGGGGACGACGGTAACAACGGGGACGACGAGGATAACGAGGGCGACGACCACGCAAACGATGACGGCGAATTACGACGACTACGACGACAACCACGACGAGGATACAGATGATGACGACCATGAAGACGACGACGACGACGACGACGACAACGACGATGACGCGCATGATGCCGACAAACACGACGACGACAAAGACGATTTACGACAACGAGGACGACGACGGCGACGTCGACGACGATGACGATAGCGGCGACGACGACGACGACGATGACGACGATGACGAACGCGACGACGACGGTTACGACGACAAGACGACCTGACGACGACGGTGACGACGACAAGACGACCTGACGACGGTTACGACGACCTGACGACGACGATTACGACGACAAGAAAGATTCATGCTCGCGCAGGGTAAGAGAAGGTTTCCAACGGATTTCTGGGGTTGACGCTGGCTTTGCGGGAGGGGGGGGTCAGACTACCTTCTGTTAACGTCGGGCTTTGTGGGGGTTTCTGGAGATTCCCAGGGGAGGCTCCCGCGCTCGGAAGGGAGCGGCCACGAAGACGACGACAACGACAACCAACGACGACGACGGTGCCGACGACGACGACGACGACGACGACGACGATCACGACGACGACGACGACCACCACCACCACGACGACGACGACGACGACCACGACGACGACGACGTCGACGTCGACGTCGACGACGACGACGACGACGACGACACGCCTCCCTACTACGTACCCCTCCCGCTTCCCCCTTTCCCCTGCTCCTCCTCCTCCTCCGAAGGGAGGCGACAACGGCGACGACGGGGGCGACGACGACGACGGCGAGGCGGAGGGTCAGAGGGCGAGGGGGGAGGAGATCAGAGGTCGCGGGAGGAGGAGGAAGAGCAACTCCTCCTCCTCCTCCTCCTCCTCCTCCTCCTCCTCCTCCTCCTCCTCCTCCTCCTCCTCCTCCTCCTCCTCCCTCTTCCTTGCTCGCACGCACAATACGTGCGTGCGTGTGCGGGTGGCAGGTTCTGCGCTTTCAACAGTTCACTTTTCCGCGTACTGGGATTGTTTACGGAGTTAGTCGTTGTCGTTGTCGTCGTCGTCGTCGACGCCGTCTTCGCCGTCGTCGTCGTCGTTGTCGCCGCCGTCATCGTCGTCGTCGTCTTTGCCGTCGTCGTCGATGCTGAGGGCAGGACTTCGTGGACGCCCGGGCCCGATGGGCCGGACGTGGCGGAACTATGGTTGAACCACCGACGGGCGAGAACCACTCTCAGTAAGCCTTGCGGACAAGTCATTCCCAGAAGTGTTGTTTGTTGGTGTGTGTTGTTGTTTGTCATGTGTACTGTGATGTTGTGTGTGTTGTGTTGTTGTGAATGTATGTTACTGTGGTGTGATGTGTTTGTTTATGGGCGTTGCTTGTGCTTGTTGAATTGTGTGGTTTGCATGGTTGGTTTACGTTTGTTTGTGGGTTGTTGAGGTTTCTTGTGGTTTCTTGTGTTTGGTGTGTTGTGGTTGATTGTGTTTGCTGTTTGTGGTGTGTCGTGTTTTGTCGTCTTCGCCATCGTCATCGTGGTCGACCTTGCGGACAGGACTTCCTGGGCGGGGCCCGATGGACTTCATGGACGGGGGCCGATGGGCGGGACGTAGCGGAACGATGGTTGAAATACCGACCGGCGATGACCAATCTCGGTAAGCTTTTCGGACAAGTCGTTGCAAGACTAGTCAGCTACCACTTAGAGATAGATCCGCCGCTCCCTGTGGCATGCCACAGGGATACACGGCGTGACAGATGTTAAGTAGGTTCTGGTTACGTTTACAAGTTCCCAAGAGCCTTCGGTCCAACCCGCCGACCACCCAGAAAGCAGCGTAAAGACTTCAACGTGCAAAAAGATCGCTCCAAGACGGCCAAGATGGCCCAAGATGGCCGCTAAGATGCCTCCAAGACGACCAAGACGGCCCAAGAAGGCCTCCAAGACGGTCCCACGACGCCTCCGAGGCAGTCAAGATGGCATCCAGAAGGCCTGAAGATGTCCCCCAGACGGCCCAAGAGTCCCCTCAGACCCAACAAGATGGCTACAAGCAGGCCGACAGAAGGCTAGACTCTTTGATGTCCCGCCAGGTTCTTCAATGACTTTAGTGAACTCGCCGTTTTGAATTTCCGACGTTCCAGGACGGGCCCATAAGCCCCCAAGATGACCCCAAGACGACCCAGGAGGCCCCCAAAAGGCCAGCAAAACGGCCCACGAGGGCCCAAAGACAGCCCAAGAGGCCCACAAGACGGCCCCAGAGACCCCCAAAACGACCCTAAAGCGCCCAAAGAGGGACCCACGACTGGGTGGGATTTTTGCACGAGCAGCGAAGAGGACAGCTTCAAGACAGTCAAAGTGAATTGCACCACGCAGATTCTCCATTACAAAAAAAATCAACCACCCTCCCCCCCTCGGGGTTACAGATCCCCCGGGAGCCGATGCAAAACACATAGGACCCTGACCCAATGTCCATCCGACCTGTGAATTCATACTATCCCAGCCAAACCGGTATCGACCTCCCACGCCATCTTCATCAAAAATTACTATTCGCGCGCACTCGTTTATCAAAAACTACTAATGTTCAAGAATCCCTTTAGCAACAAAACTAGACGAAACGCGCACGCGCGCGTCGTCGCGCGCGCATGCCGAAATCCGTCAAAAACCTTCCAGTTCCGGAAGGAGTTCAAAATCAATTTGTTTTGTTTACCAAAAAAAAAGGTTTCGCAACACTGATGTTCTAAAAAAGCTTACGCGCGCTTTTTCGAGATCTTAATAACCATAAGTTTTTCAAACAAAGAACAAAATACCAAACGGGCTTCGCGCGCGCATGTCGAAATCTTTCGAACGCCCTTGCGCGCGTGCCGTCGCGAGAATCCTCTGCAACAGAAAAAAAAATCGACGTGCACGCGCGCGCGTTGTCGCGCGCGCATGCCGAAATCGAGTGTCCAAAAAACATACAAAAACACAGGGTTTCGCAACACGGATGTTCACCAAAAGCGTGCGCGCGCGCTCTTGCGTCGTCGTCGTCGTCGTCGCCGTCCTCCATCCTCCCTCGTCGTAGTCGTCGTCGTCGCCGTCTTCGTCCTCTGTTGTTCCTCGTCGTCGTCGTCGTCGTCGTCGTCGTCGTCGTCGTCGTCTTTGGCGTCGTCGTCGTTTCCGTCGTCGTTGTCGCTGTGGTCTTCCTTCCTCCTCCCTCGTCGTCGTCGTCCGTCGTCGGCATCTCGTCGTCGTCCCTCCTATTGCGTCGCCGTCGTCGTCGTCGTCGTCGTCTTCCCTCCTCCCTCGTCGTTGTCGTCGTGGGCGTCGCCATCCTCCCTCCTTCTTCGTCGTTCGCGTCGTCGCCGTCCTCCCTCCTCCCTCGTCGTTGTCGTCGTTGTCGCCGTCGTCGTCCTCCCTCCTCCATCGTCGTCGTCTTCGTTGGCGACGTCATCGTCGTCGTTGTCGTCGGCGTCGTCGTCGTCTTCGTCGTCGGCGTCGTCGGCGTCGTCGTCGTCGGCGTTGTCATCGTCGTCGTCGTCGTCGGCGTCGCCGTCGTCGGCGTCGTCGTCGTCGGGTCGTCGTCGTCGTCGTCGTTGGAGACGTCGGTGTCGTCGTAGTCGTTGTCGGCGGCGTCGGCGTCATCGTCGTTGTCGCTGTCGTCCTCGGCGTCGGTGTCGTTGACAAGTTCCGTTTGGTACCTACCGTCACGATCTTAAGACATCTTGCGACCAAGTTGCGGGTGGGATGGTGGGATGTTTGCACGGGCAGTGGATAGGACAGCTTCAAGTTGAGCAAGTGACTGGTTGCACCACATAGATTGCACAACATGGAATGCACCACACAGATTGCACCACATCGATTGCTCCACAATGGTTAGTCCAAAAGAGCTGCACCACATAAATTGCACCAAACAAAATGCACCATATGGATCCTCCTTTGTGAGAAAATATACCACCTTCTCCCCCCCCCCCGGACTTGAAGATCCCCCTTTTCGTATTGCACTTTACATATGATCCTGCCCCGTCGTCCATCCGAACTGTGAGTTCATAATGTC